GGAGCAATGTAATAAAAAAAATCATGCCTAATCAGGAATAAGAAACTCTGGGGTCAGGACATTTTAATGTGCTCTAACAGAAAAAAAAACCCCAAGAGTAAACATGAAGCAACTTTTCAGTCATGCTGGGCTGAAGACAGTAACTTCGTATCCCAGACTAAACAACTCTGAAGTAGGAAAATGCTTATATTTTATCATCTGGTTAGATGGAGCATGGAGATCATCATACTTTAGGAAAAAAATCTACATTATCAGTTCACGTCTTACTATTCTTGTATCTTCCTCCGTTGTCTCCTGCTTTTCTGGAATTATCTCCTAAAGTTAATCAGAAAGAAATAAAAATGAAATGGTTAAGATGCTTTTTGCAGGAACTTCTGTTGATAGCAATGTTAATTCAGCGCTAGTTAGTACAGCACCCAAATCAAACTACCAAAACTAAATTAACCGAGCTGCTACGTACTTTTTCTGTGTCAGAAAAATGTAAAACCAGGAGAAATGAATATTCCAGAGCTAAGGAACGAGAGACCAAGTGCATTTAAAAAGTAACTCTTTGGGTTCATTATTGCTTTGTTTAAGATTAATGCGCTGCAAAATAGTTACTCCAAAAGAGGAAGTTCAACTACTGTTAAATTATTTTTAAAGGTTACATGTACATTTCAGCTATGTGCTTCTAATTAAGCTAGCCCTAAACTGAAATGATAGAGAAAAGGAATAAATAGAACTTGCCAATAAACTGTTTTTGCCCATTATTCACCACTGTATCAAACACTTAATACACAAATAATCAGAAGAAATAAGCTTCCCTCTAGCTTCTTTGCCTCATTTCTGGAATTTTCTTATTTTAAGATTTGTAAGGTAGCTTCATATAAGAAATCAGTTACATTTCTCGTTTCTTGTTATTTTCATTTTGCTCTTACTTTTCTCAAACAACCCAGTGTCCCAGTGTAATATTAACTGGATGAGCAGGCACTTTTAAAACTGAAAAGCTGGCCTAGGCGATCTCTCAGAATCTATCAACTTGCAGCTCACCTGCACTCAGATTTCCACAGAACTGCACCTTAACACAGAACAGTCAAAGGCTCTCTGATGAAAAGCAAACTATGGAGGTAGCAGCAAAAACAGATACTGGCACTTGTAATGACACTTTTAAAATTTTGAACAATATTATTTTAAATATTGTTTTTAGTGTTAGCTTTACATTGTGTTTTGTTTTTATTGGGATATTCCTCTCTTTTCTTTAGCTAACCTCAGTAAAGTCTGAACTCTCCAGACACCTATGCATATGACTTTTAAAGGGACAACTCATGTGAAGAAGTCCTAAGTGTTTGCAGAATCTGGGCCAAACTGTTAAACTACCCATCCCTTTGCTTTCTTCTCTAGTGAACAAAGCAAAAAAGCTATACTGTCTATTCACGGCCAGACGACACTTTCCGTCTTATTAGTTTTAAATTGCAGTTGTGCATCTCACTGATAGATTAAGCTTTTCAACTACAGTGAGCCCTCGCTACTTCGCGGTTCGACCATCGCGGATTCACGACTTCGCGGACTTTTTTCATTACATTATGTATATACGTGAATCCGCGATGGTCGAACCGCGAAGTAGCGAGGGCTCGCTGTATACATGTTAAATATACATGTCCCTACTTCGCGGATTTTCAACTATCGCGGTCGGGTTTGGAACCTATCTACCGCGATAAACGAGGGTTCACTGTAATGCATTCCTACAATGTAACAAAACAACTGTAGAGTTTAATAGCATTTGGTCCTACAAAGGGACAGGAAAATTTTGAGAAAGATTACTGTATTTTACCCATCTTCTCACCTCCACTGTAGGTGGGCTTTAGTTTAAAAGAGCCTTTAAATTAAGCATAATGTGCACCCTTAAAGAAATTCAGTGATGTGATCCATGTAATAACATTTAAAACTACAACATAAAATAACATTGTACTTGATTTAGTGACAAAAGCAGTATCTCCAGGGCTGTAACCAATGTATTACTTCATTTTTAATGCTGCTAATATTGGCTGGTTATTGTTTTTATACATGCCTGTTGCACTATAGATCTTTGATCCTGGCAGGTGAGTATTCTCAATACCAACTGATGGGAAACAAAGGGGAGGAGGAGGACTGAGTCCAATTCCATAGCCACTGAATCAATTAGACTATCATTGACTTCAGTATTGATTGGGCCTTAAGCACCCTGAAACTATTTCTGAAATACTTCCACAACTGTGTGATGTGTACAAACTCTGAATGACACTGTAAGACTACCAGTGATCTATAAAGGCCCTCACATAAAACTAACTTAAAGGTATGGCACTTAGTTTGATGGAAGGCGAAAGGAAAGAAAACCCCCAACTGTCCTAGTAAACTAATGCAGGGAGAAACCTACAATTATATATTCTCTTCATAGAGTGATAGGCTGTGTCTAGACTGGCAAGTTTTTCTATGCTGCTCCCGTTCGGGCAAAAGGGCCAGTGTAGACAGCTCAGATGTGTTTTGCGCAAAAAAGCCCCGATCGCGAAAATGGCGACTGGGGCTTTTTTGCGCAAAAGTGCAACTAGATTGGCACGGACGCTTTTCCGCAAAAAGTGCTCTTTTCCGCAAATGCTTTTAATGGAAAACTTTTCCATTAAAAGCATTTGCAGAAAATCATGCCAGTCTAGACATAGCCATAGGGTTTTATTCAGCGTGTCTTTGCTCCATGGACCTGTCACTGGCATTTTCTACACAGCATCAGCTTAACCAATCCTGCTGAGCCCCCATATCTGTCCTTCCTTCACCTTACTCCCTTTATGCTACCACCACCCCTTTCTTCATGCCCCAGCTCTTGCATTTCTTGGCTTCTACAAGGGGCTGCTTTACTCCAACAGGCCTCAGGCAGGCTGTCTCTGTCTCACTCTCTTTTAGGAGCCTCAAGGAGAAGTTTCTCCCCACCCAATTCATGGGTGCATCATGGGATGGTTTTGTCTCCGCTTCTCTCCTTCAGTGTTGGCATATCTTCCTCTCCTCCAAATTTAGATTGGTGTGGTAGAGTGGGGAGCTACTTCCTCACACTAATGTGTCAGACCCTGGTAGGGTCTGTCCCCCTCCACTGTGTCCTGTGGGAGGGAGGCAGGGGCGGGCAATGACTGAGGCTGTGTCCTGCCCTCAGGGGAGGCTGTTTCCCTCATTCTGTCCTGCCCTTATGGGGGTTGTGCCCCCATCTCCTCCAAATTTAGATTGGTGTGGTAGAGTGGGGAGCTACTTCCTCACACTAATGTGTCAGACCCTGGTAGGGTCTGTCCCCCTCCACTGTGTCCTGTGGGAGGGAGGCAGGGGCGGGCAATGACTGAGGCTGTGTCCTGCCCTCAGGGGAGGCTGTTTCCCTCATTCTGTCCTGCCCTTATGGGGGTTGTGCCCCCACTGTGTGCTGCCCTCATGGGGGCTGTGTCTCCCACTGGGTGCTGCCCTGAGGGGGGCTGTGTCCCGTACTCTGTCCCGCC